GGCTGATTGACAGCGGGCTCTGCCTATCTAGAGGCAGACAGCTGTGCCCGCCCCCTCCCCGTCCGTTTTCTGCAGTCAGCGTTGGAGGAACGGAGATGGGGAATTCCTGCGGGGAGCCATGACTGACAGTCACTGGTCACTGCAGGTAGATGATCAGGAAGTGAGCGAGGGACAGTATGCGTTCACTCACTTCCCGATCTATAGAGCCAGCGTGTGATAGTTTCATTGTCACGTCGGGTCTAACTATGGGGATGAGTGTAGATCACTCACCTCATAGTTCTCCTTTATCTTAGAAAAATGCTAATTGCCTGGCTGCCTCAAGGAGCTTACAATCTAATGTAAAGGCTGATTTAGACAGGAGTACCTGGAGGAAACCCACGCATGCACAGGGAGAACATGCAAACTCATGTTCTTGAATCACTGGCCTGGAAATAAGCATGCAGATCAGGTGAGGTGTTTATTCAGTCTTCCGAAGCACTGAAAGCAATAAAAGTAATTCTCTCAGCAGGTGAGCTCACCCCCCAGTCAGTCACTGTTCCGCCTCCTAGCAGATACTCAGCTCACCCTATTCCCCCTCCTAGCAGATACTCAGCAGCTCAGCTCACCCTATTCCCCCTCCTAGCAGTTACTCAGCTGCTCAGCTTAACCTGTTCCGCCTCCTAGCAGATACTCAGCAGCTCAGCTCACCCTATTCCCCCTCCTAGCAGATACTCAGCAGCTCAGCTCACCCTATTCCCCCTCCTAGCAGATACTCAGCAGCTCAGCTCACCCTATTCCCCCTCCTAGCAGTTACTCAGCTGCTCAGCATACCCTGTTCCCCCTCCTAGCAGATACTCAGCAGCTCAGCTTACCCTGTTCCACCTCCCAGTAGGGAATTCTCAGCTTAGCTCACCCAGTTCTCTCCTCCACCCGCAGTGACTCAGTAGCCGTTCAATTTTTAATGCAAACACAGATCAGGTACTCTACAAGGGGGAAGCAGGGTGGTCTGCTTCTGAGAGTATGACTTGAACGACTACAGTGCTTTTGTTGAGGAGGAAAGAAGCAAGTTGAAGATAAATTACTCCACAGTGCCTGCAGCTATAGGGATCAATGAGGGTTTCAATTCAAAGTGGATTTACTGTTTAATAAAAATGTTGCAGCTGATATTTATTTGGCAGTCACCAAATGTTTTGGTGAGTGCCAAAGTGAGTGTTTTGGTGGTGTTTTGATGAGGCAATAATGATACCTAATAAACCAAGTAATTTAATCTAACCATCAACACTAAAACTCTATTAAAGCCTTACATAGTATCATAACCATAACCTGACCATAACCTAACCCAACCCTTGAAAACCTAAATCCAACCTGAACCTGAATTCTGATCATCCCTTTTTTATTGCTAATATCAGCCCATGCATGCCTTACACCAGCCTTACATGTAGAAATGCATGGAGGTGGGCTTTACATCGTGCTGCAACATATATAAATTTATGGTTTGTGCTGGGAGCGCTCTCGAATGTGCCCCCTAACACTGTCACCTACAGCAATCTGTTTATTAACATTTTACAACATAATGCCCCATGCTTTGTTAATAGATGTCCTATAGCAGAAGCTGGCACCAATGCCCGCTGCTAGTTCTTTGACTTTGCTGTATCTGACAGCTGCTCTGTTGGATACAGCGATCAGAAACCAATCAGCATGGTTTCCAATTATGCGATTACTATAACAACCAAATCATATTGATCACATGGCTTTGTTTGCAAAAGAGCCTGCGCTTTCACAGAAACAGTAAACAGGTAATTTTGGTAAAGTGCAATGCAAACATTTAAAAAAGAGAAGTAAAGAGTAATGTCCCCAAGTCTGTGACTCAATGTCTGTGACCCAAGGTCAGCATATAGCGGGCTACCACCCACTATGTGCTGACATCACAGAGCTGCACTGCAGTCGGGAAGGATCAAAACAATTTTGTCGGGATCCACCCCGCTTGATTGACAGCTGGCTCTGCCTCTCTAGATCCAGAGCCAGCTGTGCCCGCCCCCTCCCCTGCCTGTCCCTCCAATGAGTGCTGAAGAAATGGAGAGGAGAGGGATGTATCCCTGCAGGGAGCAGTAACCGCCAGGGAGAAGACCATGAGCTAAGTGATCAGGGGTCATACGATTGCTCAGCTAACGATCAGTAAAGCCGGCATGTGATAGCCGCCGTGTCCCCCACCGGCTCTAAGCATTGGGAAGAGAATATTTTCCTCTCGCTTCTCCTTTAAGCAATTTTTATTCCACATTTGTTGTCCACTTGTCACTTTATACTAAAAACTAATTGAGCAAGATATTTATTAAAAACAATGTAACAAATAAACACTTTATAGTTTTATAAAGTAGATATAGCATTATAGTTAAAGTGACATTAAAGGATAAAAAAAATTCCCTCCCCCCCATGTTAATGTCAACACTTACCTTAAATGATGTCTCTTAATCCGATCTTCTTCTTTCCCCATGTTTTCATCTGTCCCTCCAGCGGTGCGGTGGCTCTCCGATCCAGCGCTGATTCCTCTCTGCTAGCAGGCACTTCTGATCCAGCGGTGTCTGCATGCGGGTGCACGCATCCATAGACTTACCTTGCGTCTCTGCTCGTCTCGCGGCCGAGAATCCGAACTGCGCATGTGCCCGCCCCAAGATGCTTTGCGGCCGCCGGATCAGTTTCGTTTTCTCGGACGGGAGCGCGCAGCCAAAACAAGGTAAGTGTTAAGCGCTGTTAATGCGTTTTTTAAAAAAAATACTTTTTTGCAAATATCTACTGCTTGATAGCAGTAGATATAGGCAAAAAAACGGGAGGGTTTAGAACCACTTTTCTGCCTCTAGATAGGCAGAGCCAGCTGTCACTCACGCAGCTGGGCGGATCCAGACATAATTGTCGGGATCTAATTCAGTGTCTCAGTATACCACGAGCTGTAGCTCGCGGTATACTGAGCTTAGGGTGACGGGAGGGCGCTAGTTTGTGTCCTCCCGTTACCCTAAGGAGAACTATGGGGAAAAGCCTTAACCCCATAGTTTAAGCTAAACGAAAACACACTGACGCTGCTAAATGTGGCCTGGGTGTCTAGGCTTCAATGGCCGCTGGTGTCAAAAGGGTTAAATGCATTATGTTAAGAGAGATTACAATCTAAAAGCGGATCTGACATGGAGTTCCCTATCTTCCTGCCTGAGCTTTTAGTATGTTAGACTAAGAACACCTCCTCCTTATTTTATGGTGATGAGGAGAGAGGAAGGTGTACTATAGTCTATCAGAAAAGAGTTAGTCAGAGCTGACAACACTGCTTAGATTTCAGCACAGCAAAGGCAGTGTTGTCAGCTTACAAAAGGAAGTTAGGTGTGCATTGGATTTCGGGCAGATCAAGTGGTATTTTTCTGTACTTGCAGCATTTGTAAAGGGGTAAAACATGGGAAATGTGCATGTATTGCAGATACGTACTGAAAAGGTTTTTTGTTTTTTTTTATTTTATTTTGTATAGAAATACACTTTAAGTGCCCACCCAGGCCTATTACAGCAGCCACAACCAACAGCAAATAGAAAAATCCACCCAAGACAGGGATTCAGGCAGCATCTCATTGGGTCATGTGGGGGAGCATGTGTGCCTGCTACCCTATTTCCAGCCAGAGCATTCCAGGTTGAGACACTCTGGCCGGCATCCCACCCAGCTCACCGACTGTCTGGTTCCTGGCAACCAGTGATGTCAGTGTGGAATTTCTCAAAACCAGTATTTGCATAGCCGTAGGCCCACTCTGCTGATAGGTTACTTAGGCACTGCCCCCCTCATGTGACAAGGCCGGGGTCTGCTGAAGGGGGCAATGCCTGAGTAACCTATTAGCAGACCCGGGCATTGTCACATGGGGGGCAGCGAGTAACTAAACTATTGGCAGACCCGGGCATTGTCACATGGGGGGGGGCAGTGCCTGAGTAACCATTGTGGCAGTGCCCGGATCAGGTTATTCAGACACTGCACTATAGGAGGGGGTGCCTTTTTGACACACACTAAAACATGTACTAATTAGGGATGCACCAATATATCGGCCGCCGAAACATATCGGCCGAAAATTGCACTTTTGGCAAACTGCAGAAAGTGCCATTTTCTTACCGATATAGCGGTGCATCCTATTCTCTCCTCCCCGCTGGGCGCTGCTCTGTGTCCCAGCGGGGAGGAGAGAAACTGTCACAGGCGGCCCGGTGCTGAGGGAGGAGAGCGCTGAAAGCAGCCGGCCGGCGTCTCTCCTCCCCACAACGCTCAGCCTCCTGTCACAGATCGGCAGAGTGGTGTGTGACAGCCAGTGCTGTCACAGAAGGCTAAGCTCTCCTCCCACACCGGCTTGCCTCCTGTGACAGCTGTCAGGAAGGAGAGCGATACAAACACTCAGCGATCAGTGATCGCTGAGTGTTTGTAAATAATTGAGGACAGAGTATGTTTACTAAATCCTCAATTACGAATGAATGGGAAGGGATCTACATCACCTCCTGTTCATTCATGATTGTGGTTATAGTAAACATACACTGTTCTCATGTTATGAATGAACAGGAACACTGAGTATAGAGGATTCCTGTTCATTTTTAACAGGGGCTGCAGAAAAAGAGATTTAGGATGCACCGATATATATCGGCCGAAAATTGCACTTTTGGCAAAATGCCGAAAGTACAATTTGTCTGCCGAAATAGCGGTGCATCCGTGCTTTCTCTCCTCCCCTCTGGGCGCTCTGTGTTCTCAATCTCTTTTTCTATTTTAAAAAGGAAATATTAGGGGTCTGTTTAGACCCCCAATAATTCCCCAAAGCCCTTAGAAGTAAAGTAAAAAAAAAAAATATTTTATAAAAATGAATAAATAAAAATTAAATATAAAAAAAATTAAAGTTTATAAAAAACAAATAAAAATAAAATGTTTTTTTTTTTTTAAAGTTAGAATAAAAAACATTTTCTGTTTCGCCCTGACATTTTTTTTTTCATTTCGGTGCACGTCTAGTACTAAGTATTCACCATACCTGAATCTCCACCAGGCACAGAGGGGTGTAAAGTTTTAATGTAAACTCCAAGCACACACGTGAACACAACCAGGGCCCATGTGACATGTGGACTCCCATCTTGTACTCTGGGCTCTTTAGTGACTTTCTTTACACTTTTCAGTGCCGTCATTTTCCTCGTCGTCCTCCTCCTCGCTCATACAGATCTACATAAGTTTGTGTTCTGTCTCCCAGCAAGAACAAGCAAAACTGGCTACCCTCATGTCTCTGTAAATAGGAAACAAAACATTTCAGCATCATCAGACCAAAAGGACTATTCACACATTTCTTAGAAGGGATTTTGTTACAGACACTAATTAGCTTTCGAGACATAGTGATACTAGCTTACATGGTGTTTCAGGCTGGTAGTTGCAGGACGGGGGCACATTTTATTAACTTTCAAAAATAATTAAAAGGAGTTAAGTCCCAGCATACACACTGTACTATCCTGTTATCAGCATTGTAATAGGAATACATACTAGAGTTGTTGTTGATAATGCAATCAAAGCTTAATTAAAAAATCCCTTTTATGTAGTGAGTGCTGCTTTCTGTCTACCCATCACTTTCACCAACTTCCTGGATTTCCAGTGTGCTTTACATCTCTTTCTCTGCTGCTTGATGGGCTGCAATCTCCATTTCTCAAGACTACATAACCCATCATGCATTGCTTCCAGCAAGCAATGATAATGATACATTGTTCAGATGTTGAGTTGTAGTTTGAACAGCAGGTTTTGTGAAAGTGGTGACGCAAGGAAGTACATATTCACAGGGCTGAGTGAAATTGTGTCCGGGCATTGAGGAAGTACATCCTATGGGCATCTTCAATAAATACGTTTACAAACGTATACATCGATATGGTTATTTGGAGTGCGATAGAACTTATCTTTAAGGGCCTGTTAACACGACATCCGTTTTCTGTGATGACCTGATCCGTATGCTCCTGCACCTAAAATGCATCCCAATGTATCCCTATGTGTTTTATGGGCTACAGTTCTCATGTGCGCAGTCCGTTTAGCTTACGACAAAATATTGCATGTCCCATTTTGTCCGGTCCGGAAACGGTCCGGAAACGCATGAACGCGGCAAAAACGCAACGAAAACGGAATGCAATGCAGCTAAGCAAAAAAAAAAAAATAGTATTCTTGCTCCACTTTTTATGATGTAGTACGACATACGAGTAAAGGAAAAAAATGTATCCGCGTGACCTCGCAAATCCTCATACAAACTCCAGAACTGACCCTTGGAGTCCCGGAGCCTCAAGATCAGGTGTACCCAATAACGACGTCTCCTGTGGGCTTGTTCTCTGCAGATTGCTGTAGCCAGCACCATCAACATGCCTGCAAACATGTGATACATGTCTGATCACCAGCTTTACATACACAAAGGGAAGTACTTGTTCCGAGAGGGCGGAAGTGACCTCAGAGGAAGAATCTGCATACTGACAGCCCCACGGCTTTAAAAAAAAAAAAAGAACTGTCAGCATCCAGACCGAAAACGCATCAAAAACGCATCAAAAACGCACTGCATCAGTAGCACCGCGTCTGCAGATCCGCACCTGATCAGGAGCTGATATCATGTGAACAAGCCCTAAGAGCCAGTCACAATTTGCACAATGCATGGCCAGCTTTATGGAGATGAAGCAGAGACGTGTTTGTAGTCCAAATCGGCAACGCTGCTGCTGCTCCTCCATTGATAAAGTACGGTGAGTAAGTGTTGTCACCCTAGGACAGGAAGTGTGTTAGTGGCAGAATCATTAGGTGAAAATGAAGGAAGAAGATGTTCATATGCCCACGTTAATAACACCTCCTAGACTCCAAATATGCAAATACAATCGACACCTGGTTGTGACTAACAGATTATGTGGATTGGAACAACCATATTTATTCCCAGAGAATTTTGCACAAGTCATTCTTAATTGAGAAAGCTGGTTGGATGGCCAGTGAAACGTCTTCAAGAAAAATACAGCAAGACCAGTTGCTTTGACTTATTTTTTATAAATATACCATGACCTGGATGAATGAGATCCTTCACAGACATGGCTGTGCATGGCTCTCCCAGCAGAACCACTTAATCGGAACAGGACAAGAGCGGTGATGTCACTGCCCTTGTAGCCCATTGTTTACTTCCTGCAGCCCCACAGCAGAAGGTCCATACCTCTGTACTGACCTTGGGTTGGGGGTAACCAATGCAGGAGCCTGTGCACTGCACCCGCGACACACTGATCATGGTCGCAATGCTAGGCTAGGGGTAAACAATGCAGGAATCCGTGCATTGCACCCACAACACACTGATCACAGTCGCAAATTCTGGGCTGGTGTAAACAAAGCAGGTGGCCATGCATTGCAGCCACAACACACTGATCATGGCCCCAATGCTGGGCTAGAGGTAACGCAGGAGCCCATGCAATGCACCGGCAACACACTCATTACAGCCGCAATGCTGGGTTAGGGGTAAACAATGCAGGAGCCCATGCAATGCAGTGGCGACACACATTACAGCCGCAATGCTGGGCTAGGGGTAAACAATGCAGGAGCCCATGCATTGCAACCGTAACACACTGATCACCGTCGCAATGCTCTGCAGGCTTGCATGCAAACATTTAATAATTGCACATTTTTATTTCATAAGTGTGGGTGCATTTATAACATTTCTTCAAAAGGCAGACTAGCCTATAAAAGGAGTAGTATACTTTCCTATGTTTATCCAAGAATTATTCTTCAGGTTACCCCCCTCAAAAGTTTTATACTCACCTGTCCTCGCTGTTACATGCACTCATTGAGAAAGCAGAGAACACCGGTGGAGAGGCTTGGCTTTGGAGCCGCCTGAACTGCCTGTTCCTGTGAACCAAGCCTCTCTTTCACTCGCCGCCATGGCAATAGAACAAGCTATTACATCAGCTCATTGAGAATAGAGAGGATACCGGAGGAGAGGCCTGGCTCTGCAGCTGCCTGCAAAGGCCTATTCCTGTGAACCAAGCCTCTCTTTCCTGTGTCACCATGGAGATGGAGCAAGCTATATGTTTAGCTATTGTCCATCAGTTCTGCTCCCCCCTGAGTAGAGGGTCTAAGACAGGGATGGGCTATTTCGGCCCTCCAGCTGTGCTTTAACTACAAATCGTAACATGCCTCTGCCTCTTAGATTCATGCCTGTAACTGTCAGTCTTGCAATGCTTCATGGGACTTGTAGTTCCACAACAGCTGGAGGGCCAGAGTTGCCCACCCCTGCTCCAGCACTATCCTTAATGACCAACCCTGACTAATCAACACGATGTCAAAAGTCAAGCAACTGGGAGGGTGGGCAAGGTTCTCTCTGCTGCATCTGATGAGGTGACACCAGAGAATGGCTGCACTGCTGGGAATATAGAGGAAAGTGGCCATTAGACACTTTCTTTGAGAACAGGACCACTGAAAGAACAACCTGCAAAACTCCAGTAGCAAGCGACTTGGTGCGATATCTAATGTAGGGGCTTTGCTAATCCCTACAGCCCTTAGAAATGGGATGGGACATGGGAGCAAAATATATAAACACTTACTATAAAAAAACAAAATAAACAAACAGAAAGCTTGGGCTTACCAAAAATGTCATAATAACAGGTTGAGACCTTAAAGCAGAACTACATCCTCCTCTCCTTCTAGCTGGCCATACACCTTACGATCATCGTTTGATTTCTTACATCCCGTCATCGAACCGACGTTCGATTTCCGCACGACTGCCCCATCATGTACAGACCAATGTAGATTTCGACTATCGTTCATTAGCAATACTAATTGGCCCAATTTTGTCAATTGACAGAACGGATTTTTGTTTGCGCATGTGCAGTGTTCATGTTGCAATTTTTTCCGTGCAAAAACGCCAGTAATCCATCGATTTTTAAATGTATGATTCGAAAAAAAGTTTGCCAGCCTAGTCGATCAGGGAAATTCGCACAGTTGTACAGTAATTATGATCGTTCACTTCCCATCAACTGGCCGATTATCTTATGAAAACCCGATCGTGTTCGATTTCGATTTGTATGGGCATCTTTACAGCCAAGGAAGGTGCCATCTTAGCCTCTATTTGGATTACAGTTGCCATGGTGCTGCACATATGATCAGCTTTGACACCAGCTATTTAAGGGCTTGGAAGATCAGTTGAGAGCCAAAGTATGCACACTGGCAACCTTGACTGTTGTCATACTTTCAAAGTAACTGTTTTGGGAGACATTAAATTGATGGGTCAAGTTCCTCTTTAGTTTAAAACGTGTCCCTCCACCACTATGTTAGAAGACCAGCCCCACCAGCCGAATCAGCCTAAATAGAGGCTGGAACACTTAGAGCCTTGGTTGTCAACTGATGGGTCGTGACCCAAAAGTGGGTCACCACCCTGTGTTCAGTGGGTCGCAGTTTCCACTTTTCTAGGTGAGAGGCTCCTCAGCCTCCCCCTAGAGCAGCACTGTCAGTTCTCGCGCCAAGCAGCCATTTAAAATATGCTATTCGACGGCGAGTGTCAGCTTGAGGTGGGGTGGGGTGGGATGGGGTTATGGCAGCGAGGGAGCTCCATCCATATGAGCATTGCTTATAGCTCCCTTATGTGCCCTATAGAGGTGCCTGTACCAGAGTGATGTCACATTCTGGCTCTCGGCACCTCTACAGCGCATGCTAGGGAGCTGTACAAGCAATGCACATATGAATGGAGCTCCATCGCAGCACAGCAGCCCACACTGGACCCCAGGCTAAGGATCCACTCCAGTTCTCATAAGATCGAAACACTGGGTGGATCTTAAAAAAAGAAAAATAATTTTTTTTTGAGTGTGTGTGATTGTGTCTGTGGTTATGTGTGTCTGTCAGTGTTTTTGAGGGCCCGTTCACACTAGTACAGTGCATTAAATCGCACAGTCCCTTTCTGATGTGGTAGGTGTGTTGCATTGCCATTCATTTGAATGGCACCCCAAACGCACCTCCCACCCACAATTTGATTGGCCGCACCGGAACGCGTGGTACCGCAATGCCGTGTGTTCCAGTGCAGTGTGACTTGGGTCATGACCTAATGACCAAGGACAAATGTGGGTCCTGAGGTTATACAGGTTGAGAACCACTGCTGTAGAGCATTCTATAAACTCACAATAAATATGTCCAGGCCTAGCAGAGAGAGGTACCAGA